ATTTCCTCTTCCTCATTAAATTTGCCTCAGGATCTTCAATTGCTTATAAAACATTAAAGAATAGTTATTAATTCCAAAAAGATATAAGGGTTTTAAAGTCTGTAGGTTTGCACCTGCTTATTTAACATTAAAGCATACAGTTATGCAATTACAAGTTAGAAACATCACAAAGTATAAGAAGAATAAACAGTAAATTAACAATTTATTTAGTACTTACTTCTAGTTAGCAGTTCAAAAATAGTGAAAGTGGCAGTTTGCCTTTGTAGCTTTAGAATAAAGACAAGTTTAGTAGCAATAGGAATTGAAACCAAGACCCTCAATTCATGAGACATCCCTCCCCACCATTGTAGCTTTGTGCTGAGCAACAAACAAACATAATGCCAATATTTTAATTACTTAAATAATTAAAATAAGGGAAAACAGTATACCAGAAACCCTAAATTTTTATGATAATTGATTTAATTGTGATTTAAATTAAATAGTTAGTTTACAAGACTAATCATTGTAATTGCTGCTTGTAGGTAACCAGTTGTATTGATTAAATTGCTGAGCTCTACAGGCCAAGTGAGTGAATCACTTAGAGTACTTGATATATTGCGAGATTTACCTGTTCTAGATAGTCCTGTGGCAACCAGGAACTTGATGTCTTGACCTTGTACCCTCATAAGTACTAATCTAGCTTTATCCAACCCTAAGAATACTGGGCTGACCACCAAACCCTTTGATGTAAGCAGTTTGCTGTACTTCCCCAAATCTGTGGTGAGGCCAGATTTTGGCTTTGTTTTTAGAGTAACATTTAATGTTTGCAACTGGTTTTCCTGGATATGTTGAGCCATTGGTAAAAACTGAGACCCTTGCCCAGTAGCTTTTCAGAGGCATCATCAGCATAGGCTGTAGCATATAAATAATGGACAGACCTGGATGACCCTTCCTGTTCACTGGAATCAGTGTTGTTATGAGCAGTAATGGTATGTTTCAGTGTCTGGTTATCCCAATAGCATGGCTAAAGTTCAACATAGTGGAGGTGACTGAGTAGGACTGTACGTTTAAACTAACGCAATGTTCTACCTCTGTAATGACTGGCTTGAATTTACCTCTTTATACTTGGTCATGATGGAAGCTGCCTCAATTAAGGTGAGGATATCCCTTACACTCAGGTGGTGCCTCAAGGTCTCATTGGGAAATCCTTCAACAAACATTTACAGGAATATTTGTTATTGTTGTTGCAGGGTAAACTTTATCATGCAGATGGCACAGATCATCTATGTAACTGGTCAGACTGGTGGCAGTTTGTGTCCGAGCTTGAAATTCAATCCATTGGATTGTTGATCCTCCACTTGACTGAATAGATGGCATAGTTTGGTTCTAACTGTCTTTTAGTTGTGTCTTAGCCAAATGCTGAATGGAATTGCAAATGTCTGACAGAGATGGTGCCAATATTGTGGGTATGGGAAAGTGGACATACTTAGGGATCCTGACAGTCAGACAAATAGTCATTCCATGTCCTATAGCAGCAGAACAATTAGTTTTTTTGCAGTTTATCCTGAAGCTCTACACCACTCCTAGTTTCTGCACAATCCACAGTCTCCCTGACTATATACCCCCTGGCTCAGAAAGACTTATTACTGTCCTACAGTTTGTGGTTCTTTTTTGTTGGTGCTTTCTGTCTCACCTGCTGGGGAAACAGTTTTGACTGCAGGAGTTCATCTATCAGCAGCACATCTAGTTTTTCTTGGCTGGTATTGTAATTGTGTTGCTGTGGCTGGTAGCAACTTAGGTGTTTTGTAAAGACATCCCACATGGCTTCAGACTCTCCAGGCACCATTTCACCTCTACGACTCTCAGCTTTACATGCTTATCTTGAACTAAGGTTGACCCTCAGGGACAGTGTTCGATCTGCCATTTTGGGTACACTAGACTACCCCTGATTTTCTGGAGTCAGTGGATGCAGAGATTGATGTCAAAGTCCTGTGTCCAGGGGAGGATTTCCTCTGAACTATACACCTTTCTCATACAATTGTCTTTCTCTAGTGGTAAACTGTTCCTCTTTATCATCAATACTTCTATGTACAGAAAATGCCATTTTTTCAGTAAGAAGCTTTCTTTTAAACTCTGATTCAAGGGTTCAAGTAAGGGCAATACACAGGTTAGCAAATCCAAAAAACTTGGCAAAGAAATGCTCTGATCACAGCTCTAGAATTTGTCTTTCCCACCTACTTTGTGGTATTTAAAGGTTATTTTCTAAAAGAGTGGATGTAGGTCCACTTTATAATAGAAGGATCAGTCTGAATTTAACTAAATTAGCTGATTTCAAGCAAGGAAGTAGAGGCAGGACATCATGTGTTATACAAAAGGAAAGCAATCTTTATTTAAATCAGTAAGCAATACAGTATATATATTGGCTTTATAAGCACTGGCTGGATGGTCTCCTGCTACTCGACATGTGAAATTATTAGCAGAATTTCTTACTTCAAGACATCTTCTTGTCAACTGATGCACTTAGACACTGTGTAGTAGTATTCAAATGTCAGATTTACCCATAGTGACTAGTGCTAACAATATGACTGATCGTTCTTATTCAATATAGCAGAGGCCATAACTTTTAGATATCATCTACTTTACCATTAAAGGACACTGCTGTTGTTGACCTTTTTACACAGCAAGCAGCAATATATCTGATGAGCAGAGCAGTTACTATCTCTAGAGAGCAATAAAGAAACAAAGGCAACTAGAAGAAAGTGAATGGTTTACTGAATCAGAAAGTAGAAAATGCATGGTATATGCATGCCTACCACACACTCAATATATTTACACATGTTGTCAAACAATATTCCTGTTACCATGACAAGTGTATATTGATACCCTCAAAAGAAAATAAGCTGAAGTAAAATAATCAATTCTTCAATGGTCCATTCAAGCTAGGTGGGGTTTCATGTCCCCAGTGATGAAGAATATTAAATTATTAAAACTTACTACAAATAATTAACCAAACATGCAGTAATGATGGAAGAATTAGGAGAAAAGATCATCAAAAAGAAATGAAGAAGATATCAAAAGACCAAAAAATTTGAGCAGTGTATGATAGTTAACTATTCTCCTTCATGAGTAATAGTCAACTATTCAAAATTGCTTGATTTTTTTGGCTTTTAAAATTCACAAATTCAGTTTCATACTAGGCCAAAGTATATGTATTTAACTGATTGATAGTTAGAAAGAAGACAATTAGCCAGGGAGTTCACTGGAAATTTCAAAGTAATTGAACAAC